GGAGAGAGAAGAGAGGCGATGAGTGAATGAAACGAGTGGCGGCGCATATCCAAGGCCTATATAAGTACTTACTTTTGCATGTCAACTCGGCCGCACACACCTCTCGGCGGGAAGCGGTTCCTCTGCGAGGCCCGCCGCGACAAGAACCGGTCGTTCGGACCGCTGGCCGAGGTGGTGGCGGCCGGGCTGCTTTGGGCCTGTACTGCGACTCGTAGGCCTTGAAGAATCCGGTGAAGTGGGTCGCCCTGTATCGGGACTCGTGCAGAGGCCGGACAGACGACGCTCGATGCGGTCTGGTCTGCGATGCGGGGGGCCCGGCACGAAGGGCGCTCGCCGGGCCTCGGCTCGTCGCTGAGCGCGGGGGCCGCTGCGAGGAGGCCTCTGTTCCTCGAGCGCGGGCCCCGCCTCGCCAGATGAGCGCGCCGGCGGGGACGCGGCGCTGGCGTCCAGGGTCGACAGAGGACCGCAGCGGACAGCGATAGCCGGGGGCGTCATACGTCGGCGCTGGCGTCCGGACGGCGTGCAGACCCGACGTGGCCGGAGGCGGAGGCAGGCTTCTCTGGTGGCTGCGCGGGCTGGGCTGTCGAGCCGTGCGAGGCCGCGAGAGCTGTTTTCGCTCAGCTGCAGCAGAAGTTGCGTCAGTTTCTTCGTGTCCGACTGGAGGGCGTCCATCTTGGAGCGCTGGCGGGGGTCGGTGCGAGTCGAGGAGCGAACACGGCCTTGGTTCTGGATCAAGATGTTGAAGAGTTTGTCCGTGTGCGCCTGCAGCTTCTCGATCTTCTCCTCCACCGGAGCTCCGGGACTGAGGACCGGCATGTCTGGCACGGCGCCTTGCAAGGGGCGCCGGGGCTTCCGCTGGCCGACCTCCACCGACGCGGGCCTCGTCTTCTGCTGGGGAAAGCTTCGGGGTTCGGCGGACTGCACGGCGGGAGCGGTCGTTTCCATAATGGATGCTTCCTTGTTTTCTACCGAACCCAAAGGAGAAGAAAGTCCAGGACGCCCAACTAGGCCTATAAATCCCACTGTATCACTATGAAAGTCGAAGAATGATAAATCTAGTATATAAAACTTAAAAGAGGGTAATTCCACGATACTTAAATAGGCCTATATTTTCCACTCTATTCCTCCAAGGAAACTAAAAGCGAATAAGCGTAGGATTCCAAAATGTGCTAATATCCGCCCCTGTCTCTGTATTAAACGTAAAGGACGATAACTCCAAGATTAAAAAATGGGCCTTTATTCGCCACTTGTTTCTTTATGGATCCTATGAGGCTAAATCCAGGGTTCCAAAATAATTTAAGTCACAACAAGTAGCCTTGTGTATAATCCTCGTATCTCGGTTTTTGGCACTATTTTACGTATTGAAAATGCAAACGTTAAGCTTAGGATATTCACATGTTTATCACACCGACTTCAGGATTAGACTAACTTTTTTCAGAATTTGGCTGTTTAATTAAATTCAGACACACGTCACAGTGAGTTTGCGCCGCTACCATGCGCATAGGATTAGGTTTTGCCAAATATATCTGGTTAGAAATGTCATTGATATCTATCTTAAGGTTACATTCCTCGAAATGCGTCGTGCATTTAAACATATCATCTTTATTTATGCAATGAATAGTTCTTCCAATCCTTTAATCATAATTCTTTAAGTTATCCCTACAAGAACATCCCGTCATAGAAAATGGTTGCGGAGGAATCAGAAGAGAAAACGGTTTCTTTTAAAGGGTAGCCTAAACGAGATATGCGCTAGTGCTAGCATACACACACACACACACATACATATATATACTATAAGCCACGTCATGCTTCACCCACACGTCACACACGATCATCTTATCGCAATATCATTTGCACACAGCATTTCAATTTCAACACAGCTATGCTCGTGATAACAGCATAATCTAGCGTTACATCACATGTGTACAACCACAAGACACACACATTATCACACACAGACATTAGGTCACAATGGGGCAGACATCACTACACCCCACACGCTCATACAAAACAGCGACACAGCTACCACAGCACACACAACGCACACAGCACCACAGGGATGGGCTACACCATTGACAAGTACGACATCTTTTAGTTCAACAGCAACATTCCGTACGGTCTGCCCCATTCTCACATAGAGACCCTCCTCCTCCTGGCTTTATCCGTTGAGTGGAGGCACTTTATAATCCATTACGGAACAAATCAAATAATTTCCAGGAAACCCAGGGACAATTAGAGAAAAAAGATCATTGAACCGGCAAACTCGATAAAAGATTGAAAATTAGGAAATGAAAAGCAAGTATCCTGGAGATCTGAGGATTATTAAGCATAGTAGGCCACCTCACTGACGTGTTATTTTAATTAGTCCTTCAGTATACATGGTTGTAATGTGGTGCCGGTAAGAGGAGCTGGCTCGCGTTAAACATATTAATGAATTAATGTTCTTGCAATTTGGGCAATAAAAATAAACGAAGGTCTAAACTTCCTCCACCAGTTGTTTCCCCCCATCCATATCGTCCTGCCCCTTACAGACCCTGTGGCCATCCTCCACCTTGGTCTTTTGTCTATCCTACATATTTCTCTCCATTGCTCTTACCCTCCTCATTTTTTTCGTATAAACGCCTACCCATATCCTCT